AACAAGATCTACCTATCACTGCGTCAACTTGAAGAAAAAAAAATATATATATAATCAGAATTGTTTAACTGAAGAATCACGATAATAAATCACAATGCATTAAGTGCCCACCATAGTCTTAAGACATGTGTTGAACGTGCCCAAGCCCATACTTTTGAGAGCACCATGTGAGCACCTGTGTGTGTACACGCGCTTGTTTATTTAAGGTTTCTCTATAGGAGCGTCCATCAGAGAGTGTGAGGGACCACAGATCCGCCCCCCAAAGATGCGCAGGAGACGGGGGGAGCTCCAAGTCCCAGAGATCCAGGCGCTGCCCCAGAACGTAGGAACCCCAAGGAGACTGCAACCAGGAAGGCCCCCGCCCCCCTCGAGAGGCACAGAGGATCGCCCCGGGGGGCCACAACCAGCAGCCGGCAGAGTCCCTGGAGATATCAGCGGCAAGCCCACAGGCCCGCCCGCAGCCTCCCACCTCCTAGCCGGCCGAGCGACCCGGACCCAGCGACCCGGGACCCAGGGGCGACCACCCCCGCCGGGGACCCAGCAGAGCCCAGGGACCCAGACCCCACCAGGCAGCCACCGGGATCTATCAGGCAGATGCCAAAATCTTAAACCCCCAGACCCGGTTGCCACGAACACTCAGGCAGACCAAGGCACAAGCCCCCACACCAGGTGTGGCAGGGGGAGGGGGCACAAAGATCTATATCATCAAGAGAAGTTCCAGGAGAGGGGAAGACCCAAAGGCCCCACCTGACATATACAGTCATACACAAACACAGTCACACACTCCCTCCCTCCCTCCCTCATGCTCACACATGCACATACAACCCAAGACTTACAAAAATGCACGCCGGACACCCACTCATGCTCCCCATACACACCCTATTCACTCTGGTCCCGGTACTGCTGCACATTGGGTACAACTGGGTGGGTGGCTTTCTGTTAAGGGCCATTCAGTCCCTTTACCAGAGGAGCGTGAGTTTGGTCCGCATAGCCGGTAGTAAGTCGGACCTGTTCCCGGTGAGGGTTGGACTCCGCCAGGGCTGCCCTTTGACACCGGTTCTGTTCATTACCTTTATGGACAGAATTTCTAGGCGCAGCCGTGGTGTGGAGTGTGTCGAGTTTGGTGGCAGGAGAATCTCGTTTCTGCTTTTTGCGGATGATGTGGTCCTCCTAGCTTCATCCAGCTCTGACCTCCAGCTCTTGCTGGGTAGGTTCGCGGCCGAGTGTGAAGCGGCTGGGATGAGGATCAGCACCTCCAAATCTGAGACCATGGTTCTCGACCGGAAAAGGGTGGCTTGCCAACTCCGCGTAGGGGGAGAGGTCCTACCTCAAGTGGAGGAGTTTAAGTATCTCGGGGTCTTGTTCACGAGTGAGGGTAGGAGGGATCGGGAGATCGACAGGCGGATTGGTTCGGCATCTGCAGTGATGCGGACGCTGAGCCGATCTGTCGTGGTGAAGAGGGAGCTGAGCCAGAAGGCCAGGCTCTCGATTTACCGGTCCATCTACGTCCCAATCCTCACCTATGGTCATGAACTTTGGTTAATGACCGAAAGAACGAGATCGCGGATACAAGCGGCCGAAATGAGTTTCCTCCGTAGGGTGGCTGGGCTCAGCCTTAGAGACAGGGCGAGGAGCTCGGACATTCGGGAGGGACTCGGAGTAGAACCGCTGCTCCTCTGGATTGAAAGGAGCCAGTTGAGGTGGTTTGGGCATCTGGTCAGGATGCCTCCTGGACGCTTCCCTGGGGAGGTGTTTCGGGCATGTCCTGCCGGCAGGAGGCCCCCGGGTCGACCCAGGACACGTTGGAGAGGTTACATCTCCAATCTGGTCTGGGAACGCCTTGGGGTCCTGCCGGAGGAGCTGGTGAAGAAGGCCGGGGAGAGGACAGCCTGGAGCTCCCTAGTTGGGATGCTGCCTCCGCGACCCGGACCCAGATAAGCGGAGGAAGACGACGACGATGACAAAAGCCATCTAAATACTTTATTATGTACCCCTTGTTGACCGAGGTCAAACAGTTTGTTTTTACACACTGTTGCTGGTATTTTGGCCCATTTCTCCTTGCAGCTCTCCTCTAGAGCAGGGATGTTTTGGGGCTGTTGCTAGGCAACACGGATTTTCATCTCCCTCTAAAGATTTTCTGAGGGGTTGAGATCTGGAGACTGGCCACACCGCCCCAAGACCTTGACACGCTTCTTATGAAGCCACTCCTTCGTTACCTGGGCGGTGTGTTTGGGATCATCGTCATGCTGAAAGATCCAGCCACGTTTAATCTTCAATGACCTTGCTGATGGAAGTAGGTTTTCACTCAAAATCTGACGATACATGGCCTCGTTCATTCTTTCCTTTACACGGATCAGTCGTCCTGGTGCCTTGGCAGAAAAACAGCCCAAAGCATGATGACTCCACCCCTATGCTTTACAGAAGGTGTGGTTTTTTTGGATGCAACTCAGCATTCTTTCTCCTCCAAACATGACAAGTAGAGTTTTTACCAGAAAGTTCTATGTAGGTTTCATCTGACCGTTTGACATTCTCCCAGTCCTCTTCTGGATCATCCAGATGCTCTCTAGCAGACGTCAAACAGGCCTGCACATGCACCGGCTTAAGCAGGGAAACACGTCTGGCACGTTGACATATATACTGGTTTAGCGTGGCGGATGTTTGCTACATATCTGTTAAATGATCAACAAGATGTGATATTCCATATAAATATGAATTATCAATCTGATTGGTCTTTGAATATTGGATTTAATATTACCGTAGGTTCTTTAGACTATTCAGGGAAACTCACACTTCCTATTAATTCAGACAGAGTCGAGGATATAGTTTATAAAATGAATTTAATTCTATATTTCTGAACTCATAAGTATACATGACAAAGTATGAATGAAATGTTGGCTGTACAGGATAACAGACAATGGATGAAATTATGGAGTGTAAGCTAGATTGTCATGTTCTGTCCCTTTGTTCCCCAGCCCCTCCAGTTACCACTCCAGGTTTTCCTCTTGTGTCCCATTATTATCCCCAGCCCTCTGTAGACTTCCCTCAGGTGTCTTTCTAATCATTCCCCATTCCTAATCAATCTTTATTTAGTCCTCCTCATCCGTCTAGTTATTAGTTGTTTATTTTTGGCCCTGAGGCTTTAGGTTTAGTTTCGTGTTTTATAGTTTTAGGTTAATCTGCCCTCTGGTTCTGTTCCCCATTTAGATAATTGTATTCACCTGCTTTCCCTCCAGCCCTCACTCCACACACCCTAATTGCTCCTCTCTGTTTATAAAAACCTTGTCTTGTCACTCTGACTTGTCGGTCCATTGTTTGTGTCAGCGTTGTTTTGTTCCTTGTCACCAGGTCTCTAGGTTTGTGCTCTTTAAGTGAGCTTTTGTCTCCAGGTTTCCAGGACACTGTTTTTGACTTTCAGCCCTTTTTGGATTTTTTGTTCCTCTTCCTAATAAAGGAATAATTTCATTTACATCCACTCCTGCCTCATATCGTTCTGAGTGTCTGCATATTGGGTCCACACCTCCTCCTAACTCGCAACGTGACATAGATGCTCGTAGCGAAACCTTGTTAAGTATGTGAGAGGACTTGTGATGTCTGGGTTGTAAATTCAGTCTGACTGAATGGTTTAATAAGCTATAGATTATTCATTAACCCTTCCCACACCAGTCCATACCCCGGTCCCCGGAGCTCTTCTTAGCTTCTTGGGTTAGCTAAGTAGCTACATTGGTTCATTTGTTCCAACCGTAACAGCCCCACCCTCAGCTCCACCTCTTTTCCCATCTTTGGATATTCTGGATGTGACGGGACGTGTGACACAGTCAAAATGGCGATGGTGGGAACCTCCCATTTGGGAACAAAACCTTAAAATTCTAGCCTATGGACATGAATTGTCCAGTATATATGTTGATGCTTTGGTCCCACCTCTCTGCAGATGATTTATAGTCCCCCATGTAGTTCTTGTAGTCATTCTGACCCCATGGGGTGAGATCTTGCATAGAGCCCTGATTTTGTGGACAAGATTGATAAAATGTGTTTTTAGTTGGGTAAGCCCTTCCTCAGTAGAAACGAATGCACTGGAGGTGAATGGAGACCCACCTAAGATGGCGGCTAGCCTCTATGGCTAATAATAATAACAACAACAATATTAACAACAACAACAACAATAATAGTAATAATAATAATGCCTTTGGTATTTAACACATGACCAGGTTGTTGACCAGACACTGCGTGCTCAACACAAAACAACAAAGGATGATACAACTAGGCCCCGCCCACTGAGAAGTTAGAAATCCAAGCGTTGCCTAAATGTCTGGGCGCTGAGCAGTAGAGACACAAGGGGAGGGTAGAGGAGGCTGAGAGCCTCTCCTGGTTTCCATGTGGCACGTTAACCCAGCTCTGTCTGCTCTGCATGTGGAACCGATTAGAAACGTGAAACCTCAGGAACGCTTTGAAACGAGGAAGAAAAAATGTTTGAATGTTTAAACCTAAAATTTGCAGTTTGACCTTTTTTGTAAACAGCTGCTCACCACCCTGCTCACATTTGTGTGTTAATCAGGTTTTTGCTGTAAAGTTCATCATCAGCTAGCTTCACTTTGGTCTTCCACCTCACTCAGAGCAGCCTGGAGAACACCTGGGGGCTCTCAACGTGTCTCAGAGCCAGCTGTTTCCTTCATCACATCTTTGCAGTCTGACACCTTCTTTCACTGTCATGAAGAGTTTACCCACAATGCCGCCACGCAGGGTTATGTTCATGTGTGTGGAAGTTGTCATGTCTCTAGGGTTAGGGCTGCTCTATCTCAGTACTACACCATGTGTAACGCCAACATAGCTTTGTTTTCTAAATGTAGACTGAAAAATGCTAAATGATGCTCCTCCCCATGGCTGCAGTCAGGTTCTCTAGTCAGGATTTTCAGACATGAGTTACACATTTTCCTCCTGAATCCAGATGCTGAACATCAGGAGTTTCAACTCTTCTCTGTGAAACTGAAGGGAAACAGTCTTACCATGTTGGTTTTCCCAGGTCGGGATCATTCCTCTCCAGTGCATCGGGTGCTCATTTATCCCACCTGAGCCCAGATCTCACACACACAAACAGCTGGTTCAGCCATTCTTCTATAAACATAAAAGCTAAAAGCCCTTGGGTCACTAATGTCTAGCTCCTAGGTGGACTTGGGGGGGTGAACAATCCCGATCGATCCTCATCCTCTCGGATAAACTGATTTAATCCTCAGGTCGCCATGACTCCGTCTCTCCTGCGGCACGAGCATCCAGAAAATAAAAGAAAAACTCCTTCAAAGTAAAAGCCGCCACGTTCCAGAGGGAGCAGTGTTGGAGTGAAATCTGAGAACGTTCTTCCCTCCTTTCCCAACTGGTTAAAAAAACACTCAGCACAGACGCTGACACAGGGAATAGCCCGGATCCCAGCAGCATGAGCGGGAAGAAGGAAAACACATTCTAGCCGGAATCCTGCTTAAGATTCCTCTCAGCAGAGCAGACTGATCCCAGATGTCTGCACAAAGACTCGATCAGGGGTAACTATTCATTCATTCATTCATTCATTCATTCATTCATTCATTCATTCATTCATTCATTCATTCAGGGTTGGTTATTAAACCATTCAGGATTTCCACAGCTCTGCTTTCAGGATGGTTTGTCTTGTTCCCTTCATCATCATCTTCATCATCACCTTCATCATCATCCTCATCATCACCATCTTCATCTTCATCATTTGAAAGCTAGTTGTCGGGTGAATGAAATTAAATTTAAATGATCATCGAGTGAATGGATTAAAGTGTTGCCAAATACAAGAACTCAGAAGAAACTGTTTTATGTGACAGAATATTTATGAACGGGAGCATGAAGACAACATGAAACAGGATCAGCAGACAGGACAAGGCTGTCCTGAACAACGTCAGCCATTCAACTTCCAACGGTTTTTAGTCCAGTTTGAATCTTTTGGGGGAGAAATCAGTTCAGCTGTAGTAAAGATGTGTTTTTAACCTGCACACACCTCAGTGTTGGGACTCACACTCGTGCTCACCAAGTAGGCGTCCACATCAGCAGTCAACCCAGAGCTGGGCTGTGTCCTCTTCCAGCCTCCGTCTGACACTTGCTCATGTCGGTGGTGGTGGCCATGGTGGTTGTAGCTTGTCCACCAATCACTCCCCCCTGCTGGGCCGGGTTAGGGTTGGGGTTGGCACCAGACTGTGATAGTGGAGGTCTGAAGACCGTCCACGCTGGAGCTGCTGGTCTGGACCCGGCGATCAAACCAAGATGACTTCAGGTAGATTTTAATAACACTTATTGAGTTTAGTGACCAACCATACGTAATAGAGATGATTTGATGTTGTAACATGAGCTGACAGGCCTCCAGCTGCTTACTGGTGACAGTGCACCACCTGGTGTCCAACCAGGTTAGAAGAAAGTTCTGTCAGAATCAGGATGAAGACCCAGCATGGTGGCAGAGGATCTCAGTGCTTGGCCTGTAACCAAAGGGTTGCAGGTTCGAGCCCCATTCAGCCTGCCAGTCTTTGTGGAACAATAAGAAGAAGAAAGGCCGGCAAGATGGCGGCGAGAGCGGTTACATTCTAGAGCGTCTCCTGTTTACAGTTGGACTCCAACCTTTATAAACCTTTTAAAGACCCGTAAATACGACAAACCGCCTCAGTATTAAACTAACTAAAGACCTGGTACACATTTAAAACGGTAACACTTGGATATACGTCAAAAGAAGAAGGAAAAACAAAAAAAAATACTACAGCGGAGAACTGTTCGGAGAGTTGTAAGCTAGCGAAATGCGCCAAGCTAAACCAACAAAGGAAAAAATGAGTCACCAACTAAAAAAATGGAATTAAAGAGAAAGGACTCTGCATGAAGTGCTCGGCGATGACTGAAGTTTTACAGGAGAAAGAGATGAACCCGCCCCCCTCCATGAGTCTCCATTGAGTAGCCCAGCTCCCAAGAAACGTAACAGCGGACCACCGGAACCATCTATGTATGAGCTCCAGATGACAGTTTTATAAGCTGTAAACCATAGAGCAGGCGAGCTGGCACATCCGATAAGCAGCAACGCAGCAGGTATCAGTTCGCACACGAAGAGAAAAATGATATAAAATTGGAAAATGCGGCCCTGAAGAAGCAATGTGGAAAGCATCAGGTGGAGATAGTTTCACTGAAGGAGCAGGTGACTGACGCTGAACGCTGCAAGTGGAGATGGAGCCTGCAACTCTATGGCTTACCTGAGGAAGATAACGAGATCATCAAACAAAGAGTGGCGGACATCTGTCAAAAGATTTCACCAGGACTGGATGTCAAAGCAGCGGAGGGAATGGACATCACACACAGGCTGGGGAAACGAGCAGACGGCAGAACCCGCAGCAGCATCATCCTGTTCGCTTCATCAGGGATGAGGTCTGGAGAGCTGCAAAAAACAACGCTTACCTACGCGAGAAAAAGCTTCGTTTTGGAGAAGACTTGACTAAGACGATGAAGAGAAGAGAGCGGCGCTGTGGCGCCTCATCGAAAGAGCACGCAGATGGGAGCAAGGCTTACTCTGTGGGAGTCAAAGGTTTCATAAATGTAAGGACATCCACCGGCCATCTGAAACCTGAACTGAGTCATAAATAAAGAGCTGCGCAGGGATTGGTCCTGATCGACTGTACTTCACATCCTAGCTCTTGGGAAATACTTGGATCGAGTTCCCAACAGTGATTTGTTATAACTCTATATTCCTCTCAATAACAGTAGATAGTTTGTGACTCTGTTTATAACACAAGTATATCCCAAATGTTCAGTTGTTATTTCTAGGCTGAATAGTTTTCCAAAGCATTTCATCCGTCACACAAAATGTTTTACTTAACAAGGTTAAAAGGTCAAATACCTAATCTAGGAGTCGTGTTGTTCAGGTGACGCTCTTTAGGAAATGTTGTGATAGTTTCTCTCAAGTCTTATTTCTGGAGCTTACTTTCATTTCGATAAACACCAGCGGTCTGCCAAATACTGTAAAAAAAAAGCATTTTTCATGTTCTGCAAGGACACTGATTTTACTTTTCTTCAGGAAAAGTCTCTCTTGCTTAGAGGATGAAACATTCTGGAAAAACCAGCGGATCCAATAGGTCTGCTGGAGTCGTTATATTAAAGGACTAATTTGATGGAAAAATAGATAAATTCGCCTCACAGGCAAATTTTACCAAAAGTTTACTGCAGAAGCTTCTAGTTTCCCTTTGGCAGTGTATAATGAATCCTTAAATAATGAAGAACGACCTCACTCTTTGAAACAAGGTTTAATAACGCTAATCCCAAAACCTAATAAAGACAACCTTTTAATAGATATTTGGCGTGGCATTACTTTATTAAACAACGATTACAAAATTCTAGCATCAGTAATAGTCAAACGACTAAAATACGGAATTAAAGAAGTAATCCATGAATCCCAAAATGGCCTCTTACCTGGACGCCACATTTCTAACAATATTAGATTAGTTTTGGACTTGATTAATTATAATGACTTGCTCTCTGGGGACCCAGTTGAAATTTGCTGCTACGAATAAAAAGAAGAAGCTCTTTTCTATAGAGGGCAGGGCAGCTGTGACTATGATGTAGCTCATCGCCACCTCTGTGTGAAAGTGTTAATGATTGTTTTGTTATGAAGTGCCTTGGGGGGTTGTAAACCTCAGAAGGTTATATATAAAGTCCAATTCAGTTCAAAAATACTTCATTTTTGAATGCAGGCCATGGGTCTGAGATCTGTGGACAAGAACAAGCTTGAACTAAAGGAAGAAGTCAGAGAATCTGTTGAATGTGATTTTTCTTCATGTGCTAGCAAAATGTATTTCATGACCTGGGTTAAAGGCTGAAGAACAGCACCTGATCTCACCTAGAGGTTTCACTGGTGTGCCGAAGACCAGCATCCTCTAGGTGGCGATGGTTGTGCAATCATCACCATGTGACCAATGAAGAGGAGGAGCATCATGAGCTGAGGGTGGTGTGTGTGTGTGTGTGTGTGTGTGTGTGTGTGTGTGGGGGGGTGTTCTTGGAGTTAACATGTCTTTTTTAATCTGAGACAGTTTCTATTAGAATAAACTTTGTTTTTATTTGAGGGAACCTTCATGTATCAAAGGTGAGGATACAGTCCTCATGCGGCAGGTTTCACTAACTGGAACTGATTTACTGCTAAAAGATTCAAGAAAAGTCAGAAGAACAAATTATGAATCAGTTCTTCATCCAGAAATAATCTGCAGTCGAACATGTCCTCCTCATCAGACTAATCAGACTCAGGTCTGTACAGTTATTAATAATGATAGTAATAATATACCAACACCACATCATCACCATCATCACCATCACCACCATCATCATCACCACCATCATCACCATCACCACCAACACCACATCATCACCATCATCACCATCACCATCATCACCATCACCATCATCACCACCATCACCATCACCATCATCATCACCATCATCACCACCATCACCATCACCATCATCATCACCATCATCACCATCACCATCATCACCACCATCACCATCATCACCATCACCATCATCACCACCATCACCATCACCATCATCATCACCATCATCACCACCATCACCATCACCACCACCACCATCATCACCACCATCACCACCATCATCATCACCATCATCACCATCATCATCACCACCATCATCGCCATCACCACCATCACCATCACCATCACCATCATCATCATCATCATCATCACCACCATCACCATCACCACCATCACCATCATCACCATCATCATCACCATCATCACCATCATCATCACCATCATCACCATCATCATCACCATCATCATCATCATCACCAACACCATCATCACCATCATCACCACCACCATCACCATCACCATCATCACCATCACCATCATCACCATCATCATCACCATCATCACCATCATCATCACCATCATCATCATCACCATCACCATCATCACCACCATCACCATCACCATCATCATCACCATCATCACCACCATCACCATCACCACCACCACCTTCATCACCACCATCACCACCATCATCATCACCATCATCACCATCATCATCATCATCACCACCATCATCGCCATCACCACCATCACCATCACCATCATCATCATCATCATCATCATCATCACCACCATCACCATCACCACCATCACCATCATCACCATCATCATCACCATCATTACCATCATCATCACCATCATCACCATCATCATCATCATCACCAACACCATCATCACCATCATCACCACCACCATCACCATCACCATCATCACCATCACCATCATCACCATCATCATCACCATCATCACCATCATCATCACCACCATCACCATCATCACCATCACCACCATCACCATCATCACCATCACCATCATCATCACCATCATCATCATCATCATCATCACCACCATCACCATCACCACCATCACCATCATCACCATCATCATCACCATCATCACCATCA